CATTATGGTGTAATAGTGAACAACATTCCAAAAATATTACACTGACAGAACTCAAGTCCTGTCTTCTGTTTAACACTGAGTGCATTTACATACACCTAATAATCCAATAACTGCAGAAAAATCAGATTTTGTCAGTAATCTGATCAACACGTTTACATGCACTTGAGTAATCAGTTAATGGAAAACTCTGGGTCTACATGAGTCAGGCAGCAATCAGATTCCTACTTTGCAACCAGCCAATTAACTCACAGAAGAAGACGTGATGTAAACATAATGTAAACCTCAAACTTCATGCTGTTGCTTTTTTTTTAAACATTGCACCACCTTATCTGAAAGTATGAAAATACATCATCTAGAAGATTACAAAAATTTAAATCCTTCATTTCAAGCTTGTAGTTTGTTTCAGCGTTGCTCCAAAAGTGTTTTGCTGCCATCTCTTTCCAACGCTGCTTGCTTATTTCCAGCACTGAGGTCTGTTTTTGCACATGCACAGACTGAGAAATATGAAAGAAATCCGAGGAAGAGTTTACATGCACTGAGAAATCTGATTACTGAGCTAAAGTCCAGCTCTCTTTATTTCTTAATCTGATTTCTAGACCTTACTCTGATCTAAGAAATTGGAGTATGCATTTACATGACTATTTGAATAATCAGATAACTGCAGAAATCTGATTATGATCAGATTATTGAGTGCATGTAAACACTCTCACTAATAAATATTTAACGCTTGGTAACTGTATTTGTGTGGCAGGGATAACAGTGTTAACAGATAACACCAAATCCTCTATGCTGTAGCAAATGATGTACCCAAAGAACACCATGTGATTTCCCACTCTAAAAGCAAAAGCCTGATGCCAGTGTAGTAGTGCAGTCAATAAAGATGATGCTATCAACTGGAAATCACAACTACAGGGTATACGAGCCAGTGGGTAAAATTAGCCACTCTTTAAGCAACCATACACAGAAAAATCAATGGGATCACAGATTCAGGAAAGAGAGTTCATTTCACAGGAATTCTAAAAGAGATGAACACGTGAAGAGACTGGTGAGCTAACCAGAGCCAAAAATGTGACTTTTCTCATGCCAAGTGAAATTATAAAGATTAAGATGTTATCAGTCTTGCATGTTAAAGAAATAGATAGGCTTGGAATACTTTTGCATACTAGTTTACAGCAGTGTAAGCTTTAACAGTAGGTCACAAACTTATGCATATGAGTGTTAATTCATATGTGGAACAGTTTTCTCAAAATGGCGGTTGTGGGGTAAATCGTGCCGCTAAGCTAATCTTGGGGCCTGTTAAAATAAAATGTATATTCACTTAAACAACTAGCTAAAATGCAGTCATGCTTGCTGTACTATAGTGATACTGCAGAGTTTCTATCATACCAAGGGACTACAAACGTAAAACCAATAGGGGCTCAGCTCGTTGGAGGATCTGAGAAGAGCAGCCAATCAAGAGTCAGAAGGGAAGTCTATTTGGCCTGCTGCACAGGAGGAAAAGACAGATGGAATAACATTAAAAAGATACATTGAGAAACTTGATCAAGGAGAAATTCCCTGTACAGGTTATTACAGACTGGCAAAGACTCATCAGATTTCAGATGATGAATTGGAGAGTGAACTTGCCAATCACCTCAAGAGACCTGCTAAAAAAAATCATAGAATCCTTTAAAAAAATTTTGCTGGTTCCTGGTGCCGTCCAATAGTCAGTAATGATATTTAGTTCTATGAATACTTTGATTAATAAGAACTAGAGTGGAGAATCAATAGAGTGATTTTATTTTGCTCAATTTACCCCTGCCTAGGAGCAAGTTGTGCCAAGGAATCATTTTTTTGAGGAGTTATACTTCCAAATCTGTAATATATATATATATATATATATATATATATATTACAATCTTAGCCACTTATCCTCCTGAGTCACAGGGGCTGCTGGAGCCTCTCCCAGTGGTCATTGGGTGGAAGGCAGGAAACACCCTGGACAGAACACCAATCCATTACAGAGCAAACACAAAGACATTTACACCTGGGGGCAGTTTGGCATCTCCAATTCACCTGACTGCATGTCTCTGGACTGGGGGAGGAAACCCCCATACAGACACAGGAAGAACATGCAAACTCCACACATGTCTGGAATAAATACACATTTGTTTTCCTGTAAAATCATAAAAAGTGGCTCACTATACTTTGTTCTCTGCTACAGCTCACCAACACCTAGTCTCATGGGCCCAGACGCGATCGTATACAGAGAAAACACATCTGAGGACAACCTCTTAAATTTTTGGTGCTGAATTGGTCCTAACAAAGTCACCCCCCCCCCACACACACACCTTTTAAAACCCATCCTTATGTTCTTCTAGGGCTCTTGTAATGTCCAGAATACATTTGAAAAAACAAGCAAAACATGCTAGCTAGCAAAAACTGCCATTAGCTAATGGAACTGTGCATGTCCTGCGATAGGTAATGCATATTTTTAGCACATGTAATATGTTTTCTGAACATACTACACATTTTCATGCTTAATAAGAGCTTTTTTGGGACTTTTCAGCCATGCTAACACTAGCCATAAGCTAATCATTGTACAAAGTTGAAGAACACACCATCGCCCCCTACTTTTTAGCTCACGCTCAGTTTGTTCCTGTCCTAATAAGTTTACATTCCCACCTAGACTGAGCCCAAAATTTGTTATGGTTGCCCCCCAGTTGCTCTCAATATGAGATCACATACGACCCTACAGCTAACAAACACCTTGGCAAAATCCAAAATAAGCTAAAATAGAGAAATATTGAGAGATATAAATGTTTTTCAGTAAATTCGTTTCTGATCTCCTGATAACATCTCATCTTCTCCAAGCTTTCACTAAGCACTCTGGCTGGTCTGCACGGTCCAGTGTGTCAGGTCAAAGGACAGCATGGTGCACTGTAAGCAATGTGAGCAACTGTTATTAAGTTGCTTTAGGGCATCACAGAGGCTACAGTTCATATTGGAATGTGGGCACAGTAATATTGCAGACATGATATTGAAACCGATCACTGAAACCTATCACCATCTTGATGGTAATAGATGATACACTCATAAAAATGAAGCTGGTAAAATGGTTCTGGTCGTAGAGGATCACCTTTAATTTTATAAAGAAACTTTCAGTAGAGGGTTCTTAAAAAAAAATAAAATTAACCGGTCAACTTTAAGGTTCTTTAGGGAACCAAAAGTGTTTAATTGCTCCAAAGAACTCTCACTGTTTTTTCAGAGAGCAGAACAACAGCCCAAGCGTCCTAGAGAGAAGATGCAACCTCACTTAAGTTCATGCTGTGAAATGATTTGCTTGAAACAAGCTTGACACAAGAGCAGTTCATCTGAAATTCTGAGCGTAATGACATGAAGGCCCTGGTGTTTTACAGCTGGGAACATCTGTGCATCAGTTGTGTGCAAATTTATCATTAAACATGTAAGAGGGTATGTTATGCATTCATAACATATCCAAAGAAAAATAAAAGCAAAGTAACCCCTTAAAATCCCAGGCTTATTAGATCCTAAGGCTTATTATTCAGTAATTACAGGGACTTAAATGCAAACTGGTTGAGCTATTCTTAGCTTATAGAAGTGTGAAATAACACTTTGAGCCTGCCTCTGGGCCCTGGCCATTTAACATTAAAGGACAGCAGACACTTTCATATTGTGCAAAAAAAATGACAAAACAAGCTGTCATGAAATACAACAACAAAGTTTCAGTGTAGTTAGCAAATAATTCATAATAGTTAAGAAATAAGAAGTCTTAATATTAATCACTGAATAATAGCCTGCTGATTAGGGTGTTAATAACTGCTGTTACTGGGGGGATCTATTAATATAGGCTACTTTGGCTTTGAAAAATCTTTACATTGACCAAATCTGTACATCAATGCACTATCCTGTTAGCCAAGATATGACAGGAGTTTAATGTTAGGCCTTTTCCCTGGACCAGGCTGCATTACCTCATCCTCAGGGCCCTCTTAGCAGCTGTCTAGGAGCATCTTATAAAAAAGCCCTTGGGGTAAAGCCCAATGGCCCGAGTGGTCGATACTCTTCAGCTTTAGACGCCCCCTTTTGGAGAGCCTGTGTAACAGCACCTCCTGTTCAAAAATCTGCTCAAAATTCACTTTCTTTAAAAACTTTTTTCTTCCTTGCTTCCAAAAGCTAAAGAGACTAAAGAGAAAACACTATGACTATAACTGCCTGTTGGAACCAGTAAATGGCTGAATCACAGTGAAGCAGGTTGTGCTCTGGTCTGAAGAGTGCATACCTGCAGGCAACAGATGCAAAACAACACTCCAGTCGTTATGGCCAGGGCTGCTTCTGTGCTTAGGCTATGTGTGTCCTTTCAACATATAGGCTATTAGGCTTTTCTCCATCGCTTCAACACAAACGCTGCAGCCAATGCAGCCCACGTTAACCAGCTCATTAATGCACAACTATAGCAGCATTTTCAGGATGATATTATAGGTTTCCCAACCAAAGCAGACCAACACTGGATTTGTGCAGACTGTTCTGTTCACCCAGTGAACATTTTCACAATTTCAACAGCAACACACACAGAATTATTATCGACAAATAACGCAAGTAAGCACAGTGGTCAGCAGTAGTAGAGTGTCTGCATTGGTCATCATTATAAAGTAACAGCATGAGTTCAGAGAGAAGGAGAACAAAAACGAGGGAGGAAAGAGAGCAACAGCGAAAAGAGAGCGAAAGAGAGAGAGAGAGAGAGAGAGAGAGAGAGAGACAGACTTATTATTCCTACCATTACAACTTAAAAGGCCAGTTTCTATGACTAGGATTAAGCTTTAACCTGCACTAAAGGGATTTTCAGTGAGATTACAATTGAGCCCAAGACTAGATTATATTAGATTATACAGTCTGAAAGATTAAAAAGCAGCTGAGCATTATGAGATTGTGTATATATATATATATATAGAGAGAGAGAGAGAGAGAGAGAGAGAGAGAGAGAGAGGTAGGGAGACACTCACGCTGCTGTTCTGGCCGGTCCAGTAGACTACAGCATGGTTATGCGCTGAGTCTCCAGCCAGCGCGAAAGTGCTGCTGGTCAGTTTTGCATCGTCTTGTCTCGAACCGGACGCTCGGCCGTCGTCGCGGCTCCACCGGCCGTCTGAGCTGGCCCTGTGGCCGTCCAGCAGTAGCCCGTGGCTCCTCGCGCGCTCATCCGAAGGGGTCTCGGGGTCGCCCAGGTTGGGGTCTCTGCTTCCGGTCAATTGGGCGGCAGTGTCCGGTCCTGGTCCGCTTCTTTTGCGCCTGGACGTCGGTTGGTCTCCCAGCAGCACTTCCCCGTCCGTTTTCTCGGTCACTTTGGAGTTCCATTCTCGTTCTCCAGCACTTTCCAAAACAAGCGCGGTGGGGCGAAACTCGGCACGAGCGCGATTCCCAGACTTCCCCAGCGTCACAACGGGTCCAAAGCCATTGTCCAGCTGCTGGACTACATCCGCGTTCCTGACTCGCGCTGGCCACGGGCACGAGGAGCAAGTCACCTCAGCGTTACCGGGCGCTACGAGCTGTAAAGACCAAACGAGCCACGCGCGCAGAGCCAGAGAAGCCAGAGCGCTCTCCATGGTGCTGAAAGTGAAAGCTCTGAAGTCAACACGGCGCTTTCCCTCCAGAGCGATGCGAGGCAACTGTGTATCTGCGTGTGTATGTATATGTGTGTGTGTGTGTATGAGAGAGTGTGTGTGTATGTGTGTGAGAGACCCCCCTCCTCCTCCTCCTCCACCTCCTCGTGAAGCGACGAGGCTGTTACGGAGGAGCTCGAGCTCCGGGTTTGGATAGAGCAGAGCGCAGCGCTCCTCAGCTAAACTGTTCACGTTCAGGGGGGGTATCAGATAGAGCAGCGGAGAGAAGAGCACACCGAGGGGGGGCGGAGCTGAGAGAGAGAGAGAGAGAGAGAGAGAGAGAGAGAGAGAGACGGGGGACGGAGAAAGGCAAAGAAAGAGAGAGAGATGCAGAGATACACGCCGAGAGAAAGAGAGAGAAACAAAAGGGAGATGGAGAAATGGAGAGAGAGAGAGAGAGAGAGAGAGAGAGAGAGAGAGAGAGAGAGAGAGAGAAATAAGAGAAATAAGAAAAGGATAAAAGAAAGAAGGATAGAGGGAAGAGAGAATAAAAGGGAGACGTAGTTAAAGTACTTTAATTTCATCACAACATGAACTGAACTAAAATTCGTATCAGCTATTTTTCCCTTTAACCATGATTTACCAGTGAGCGTCACCATCAGCGTACATTACAGAGAGAGAAAGAGAGAGAGAGAGACAGAGAGAGAGAAAAGGGTGTTGTGGTCAGAGTGTGTTAGTATATTAGGCTACTGAGGTAATTCCGTGTGTGTGTGTGTCTGTGTGTGTGTGTGTGTGTGTGTGTGTGTGTGTGTGTGTGTGTGTGTGAATCCGAAATCGGCTGTTGCTGTTTGTTGTTGACAGCTGAAGATGAGTCCTAAATGACTTTGCCGGACAGTCAGTGCTCTCTCTCTCTCGCTCTCTCTCTCGCTCTCTCTCTCGCTCTCTCTCTCTCGTTCCCTCTCTCTCCCCCAGAGCGACGGACCGCGAGTGCGCGTGTTGGTCCCTCGAACAGAAGCGCACGAAGATCGCGGAGTTTTCTCACGTGTGCGCGCTCCCGTGATATTTATCCTTCTGTCAGGCGCGCGCACAGATGCGGTGGGCAGACAAGGCGCGCTGTGTGGGCAGGAGGGTCACTGTGGTGGGCTTCAGGGCAGTGGGGAGGGCTGTGTGTTTGGCTATGTATTTGGCTCATTGTGGGGACCAAGTGCGTTTTGTTTGAAACCAGAAGAATTTGCTTTTGGTTCCTGAATTGGTAATAATAATAATAATAATAATAATAACAATAATAATAATAATAATAATAATACATAGTTAATAAAGAATTATTCAATAGCTGAAGCTTACAGTTAATTGCTCAGTTAGCATTTAAAATCCATGAAACCTTTTCTGTATCACATCCAAACTTGTACAGAAGCTTATCAGCACTTATTTCAACACACACACACACACACAAACACACACACACACACACACACACACACACACACACACATACACATGCACTCACTATCTCATGCCCAGAGGAAAACGAGGAGACATATTGATTACAGCAATAGGCTTAGCATATGATTTATACCTCATTCAAATCAATGGTGTGATAGATTTTTCATCTCACGCTGTCTGAACACTCCCGGCCGCCCCTCTGGCTACAGTAGAACTCATCCTTCTACATTGGGTTGTGGCCAGTTCAGCTATTTATGTTCTTGTGAATGGAAATGTTTACACTGCAAGAGGATACTGACCATCTTACAATAAAATTCCTCATTTTTTCAAAATTTCTGCCTATTTCAGAGGTCGAGAAGCAGATGTCTTTAAAGGGGTAGTAATAGGAACCCAGGGTCACAATGTCTACAACATAAAAATTACACATTTTATTTACTATACAAAATCACCAGTGACATATACATGTCTTCTGAGATTGTATATGTAATGTTGATGATGGTGAAACAGTGTTTCAGGCATCAGGCAATGTATTCATAACCATGTCATCTGTGAGGGAGCTTTTAGAGGTGGACGTCTGGTTCCTATCACCACCACTGTGAACAATTCTGACACAGTAGAATGAATTTCACACCAAACCTCTCTCGCTGACTCAGCCTTTTAATTTTGCAGAGCATCTGTAAAAATTGTGGATATACCCTTTACATGGTGAGTTTACTCTCTGAACTTTGAAGATTTGTACTTAAACGGATAATATCCAACATTTCTTTGTATTGTTTTTCATAATTCATTTTTCAACCCCTTTTTATCCCTTAAAATTTAACAGACTGTTTTTGTCAGTTCAAATTACTGGCCATGTTAATGTTTTTATGATTTTATGTACAGTAATAACTTATACAATATTTACCAAAACACTTTTAGACATTTTATTCAAAAAATTTGAACACAAAGAGAAATATACTGTAATTATCTATTTCCATTCATTTTTTGTCGTCTGTTTTAAAATTTGATCTTGACTTTTCAAATATGATGAATTCTGGATCTTGCATTTTAACTACATTCTCAGTGTTTAACAGTATTTTATAAAACTTGTACACCTCACATTATATTAGAATCATATCATACACTTCCTGGCAACCAAAATTGTTTAAAAACGGTGATTCCAAATTTTTGAATGCTAATGTATGTAAATGAGCTCTGTTCTGATTGGCTGCCCTTCATTCAGTCCAGACTGAAGTATTATTTCACATGTTTTCATGTTTCCAACATCACAATATCAAGTAATGGGACGTTTTGGCACTTTAGTTTCCATTTACAGACAAAATGGACTGGAGAGTCAACATTATGTTTTGAAACTTCAACAATGTTTATAAACTACATCAAACCTTTTTATTTAAAGGCCCACATTTTGAAAAAATATATATTTTTATATACTATACAAACAATGTTAACATTCAAAATGCACAGAGTCCATATATGGAAACCAAGCTGCATGGGCAGCCTGTTTTAAATTCATTGATTTTATGGTTATGAAATCCAATATATTTATATAAATCTGCCTACACAACCTACAGCAGCCCTGCCCATTCATGCTGAAGGTAAGCCTGGGCTGCTTTGTGAATGAAGTACAATACAGTGTAGCCAATCAGAACAGAGCTCTTTTACATATAAAGTATTAAAGGAACAGTAACAGCTTGTTTAGTTCTAAGAGATAAAGTTGTGAAAATGAACACAGATGTGGATTATAGAGAACAAAACAAAAAGCAAGTAAGATGTAGTCTATAAACCTTTTATATTAAAACTGAGGCAAATTCAGCTGTCCATGATGTGGGTCCTGTAAGGCTTTTTTTCCCTCATACATGTATTTATACCTCAAAACTTCTTGTAATGAGGAGTTTTGAACTCACACTCACACCTTTCAACTCACCTCACATTAAAGGACAAAATTATTTATGTGTTATTTATACTCAAGCTGATTAAGCCTGAATCCAAATGAGGATAAATCAGTGTTGTTTTGCAATTCTAAAATGACCATCATTCATGATGTAACAGAAATGATTTGACAGTTAATTTCTTTCACCTTGTCAATGGACTTTGGACAAACGCAAAGCAATCCCTAGACACTGTTATCAGAAGGTCCTTCTGACCCCGGTCAACTGCCTGTGGAGCTCAGAGAACTGCATTATATTCCATAGCTTAGACAAAGTCACCACACTCTGTTCATTACTTTGTCTCAGGCAAAAGAGTTTATCTTCAGACAGCAAAGACAACCTGAGAATAATTTGATTGGGCAGCTGTGCTTCACCAGGCTTACATGGAAACATTCTATTGCTTGTATGGGGCACTATATGTCTAAAATTATCCAGACACTCCTGCAATTCAGCTACTTTAAGGTGCACCGACTGCTGATACAGGTGTTCTCCATAGAAAAGCATTGCTAATAGAACAGAAAACTGTGGAGCAGTTGCATATGAGCTTGAGGTCACCATGCCCAATGATAAACCTCAACTAGAGGGGTATAAAGCCCCCCCAGCACTGGGCTGTGTAGTAGTGGACCTGCATTCTCTGGAGTGATGAAGCTCCATCTAGTACCTTTGGGATGGGTTGGAGTAGAGTTTATAATCCAGCAAATAATCTAAAATCAGTACCTGACCTCACTAATGCTCTTGTGGCTCAATGCAATCAAATCCTTACAGCAATGTTCTCAAATCTAGCGTGAAAGCCTTCTCAGAAGAGTAGAGCAAATGGAGACAAATTCCATATTAATACCCTTAATTTCAGAAGAAACATTGAATGAGCAGGTGTCTTTAAACTTTTGGACACATGGAGTATAAATACATACATTTTCAAAAACTTCAAGCAACATTGCACATAATGTCTTAATATACAGTACATTTCAAAAGTACCTACTCAGAAGGGTTTTTCTTTGTTTTTATTCATTTCCACATTTTAATAGTACTATTCAGTGGAATTGAATAGTACTATTGAAATGTACTGTTTTAATGTATTCAGTGAAAAGTGCAATAATAATGAAGACATCAAACTGTAAAATAACACATTACACACTGTTAGAAATAAAGGTTCTGTGCAGTTTTCATTGATCAAGGTACAAACAATGAAAATGTACCTCAAAGTTTCGACAGTGGTGTTAAGGTCCAGTTGTGTATCTTAAATATGTTTTTTGTCCCAGGTGAAAAGAACATATTTATAGCTTTTCATAACCTAATGTTTTAAAACAGAACAGTAAAATGAAAAGCCAGGAGATGTGACGGGGTGTGTGGAGTCACTACAACTTAGAAAATATAATTTCGATGGATTATGGTGCAATTATGTTCCCTGACTAAAGGTACTGAGATGTACCCTTGAGGGAACCACCCCAGTGACAAGAGGGGCACTGCTCCAATGATCACTTCATTTTTTCCTGAGAGTGTACAGTGATCCAAAAAAGGTTTTCAACAAATCAAAACCACCTTCTATTCTGGATTCTTCAAAGTAGCACCCTTTGCCTTGGCAACCTCTCAAAACTTCATGAGGGGCTACCTGAGATGCTCCAACAGGACTGC